GAGTGGTCCATTGGGACGTGTTTCGGGCCCATGTGGACAACGGCATGGAGAGAGTGCTGGACATGTACTCTGCAGGAGAGCAGAGGATATACAACTCCTACAACCTGAAAAGAGTTGGCCTCAGCCAGAAAGCCTTTCAGGATGGAAACTTCTCGCTGGTCATCAAAGGTCACGCTCACAAACTTTGACCATGTGGATCTGTGAAATGTGGTGCATTGCAATCATTTCTTTTTTTTAATGTAGTTCTTGTAAAAGGAATATCTATCTATCTATCTATCTATCTATCTATCTATCTATCTATCTATCTATCTATCTATCTATCTATCTATCTATCTATCCATCCATCCATCCATCCATCCATCTATCTCTGAATACCTATATAAATAACGTATCTAATACTTTGGCCAGTAAACTAGGTTTACGTATGAAATGTAATCATCTTTTATTAGGGATGGGCGAGTGCCCATACCAGCCTTATTTCAAAGTAACGGGTACTGGTACAGGCTGTCGATACCAGCAGCCGATACTTAAGGCCTATTAAAAAAAAAAATCTGCATCAGAAAGCTCTTTGTTGCCAATTTTTTATTTTTGTATTAAATAAACTTTTATATATCAAAAGTACTAGAGGCATCGGTACTTAGTATCAGTGAGTACTCAGAGTGAATACTCATATTGGCACGGTCTAAAAAAAGTGGTATGGAACATCCTTAATTCTTATTAATATGTTTCAATGCTTCCTAATCCAAAATGTTGTCTTTAGACGTGACAATGAACGACAAAGGGCTGTACTCTTGTAACCTCCACCATCTCTACTGCCACTTGTACGAGACAGTCCGAGTGCAACTGAACGTGACCAAATCACGTAGGTCGCCATCTCGTTAATATGGTGTTGCGGTACAGCGGACCTGTGACCTCTCTGTGCGCTCCTCCAGGTCGTAAAGAGCAGCGCTACTGGGATGGCCAGAAAGCCGTGTACGTGGTGCTACTGGGGAGCACTGTGGTGCTGCCGTGTATCAACAGGAGAAACGTGTGGACAGACTGGAGTAACGAAGAGGAGGATCAGCAGGTGGGTCTGACGACATCTTACATGCCAGGGGTGGCCAGTGTATTAATGCGGCCTACTGAAGCGTTTATGAGGTGAGTCAGAAAAGTTCTAGGACTTGTGTCCCAAAAGATATATTTCAAACCCAAACAACATTTCTTTCTCCCTTTGAAGTAATCCAGCTGGAGTCTTACTTTTTTTTTTTTTACCGCATCTTCAAATGGTCTGGCCCATCTGTCTGTTCATGTGGCCCCTAAGCACAAAAGTTTACCAACCCGTTTTCTACACCCATATGAGAAGCATGCCTAAAAATAAAAAATAAAAAATTGTGGCCCGCAGGTGGTCCACTGGGACCGGCAGTCCCCGGGAATCTACCATGATCGCGCAGACCGCTTAGTGGACCTGTACGCTTCAGGGGAGCAGCGTAGCTACGGACCCTCGTTCCTTCGGAAGAAGATGAACATCAGCAACCAGGCCTTCTCGGAAGGAGACTTCTCACTTACCATATCTGATCTACAGGTACAGTTTTTCACATTGTGTGTCTGTGCGAGTCGTCACTTAAAGGGGAAGTCAAGATTAAAAAAATAAATAAATCTTTGCAATATGTTCGATGAGCCACCATTCATCACCATATTATCCCAGACATTTTTTTTAACTATAGTTGCAAAATGCAAGTGGCTGTTTTTGAACTCCCTCAAATACTGTGTCCCTCCATCTTTACATGACTGCGTCTATACACACACGTTATGTTGTCGTTAATCGACTTGTTGACCATCGAAGTGTTTACGTGTGTCTGCTGACTGTTTAGGTCACTGACCAGGGGCTGTACTCATGTCATCTTCATCATCATTACTGCGGCTTGCATGAGAGGAGACAGTTTCAGGTCACCGTGGAACCGCCGGTGATTCGCGCCACCGTCCCAGCTAAAGCTTTGCCCAGCGCAGACAAAGGTGAACTATTATCACAATTATTATACGTTTTTTTTTTTCCTGAAGTGTCCTAAAAAATATTTTTGGCACTCAAAAATTAGAAGCTTTGACTTTCATCAGTATTTTCACATCAACCATTTCCATACATTACAATTTATCTTTCTTAGGCAAAAAATAATAATAAATGATGCTGAATCAGCCAACTATATTTCAACTATATTTCAGAAAAAATAATGTACTGTTCCTTTTTTTTTTTCCCCCAGAGTGACAATTAGTGAAACACAAAAACAAATACCGGTACATTGTTTTGGTGTGCGTTATCAGAAAAGTATGAATGAATATCAACATTTATAATCTGTAGGAGTTCACCGCTAAACTAATATGGACTTTTTTTTCTTGAAAATTACTGCTGAGAAAAAGAGGTCACAAAGATAAAGTCTGTGGTGGGTTAGGATTTTTTCTTTTGTATGCCCTTCCTGATTGGCTGGGACACATCACATGGTTCTACATTCCATTTGGACCTATCACT